ATCGTACTCGGTTCTTATTGATCCACAGAATGCGTATGATGGATTGGGATCCAGAGCCGGCAGCAGATGTTCAGGGCATGGTAGTGTACACAGCGGTTCAACAGGCTACGGGGTGTTGCAGTCTGCGCATTATGGATCCGGGGCAGTTCAAGCTAATGGACATTCTTCCTTGAATCGCGTGCGTTTTCCTTGTTTTTTATTTTTCTTCTTCTCTCATTTGGTCTCGAAAAATCTGAGAAAGATTCATTATCAACATGCAACATTGATGCGATTATCGTGGTTTTCATGAGTTGATCAATATATCGCCACTCTTTTTAAAGGTAATCTTTCAAATTTAGTTTCGAAAACTCTGCAAAAATGTTGTTTTCGTGAACCTTTCAATTGTTTTTATGTTACAGAAAAATAAATACCCCTGTAGGAGAATTGAAGAATGTGATGTCCTTAAAAAGACACAGAACCTTGAGGATGGTTGTTATGAAGGAATAGATTCCTATGAGAGAAGTTTAAAAAGGGTGACGTCAAATAAAAAGAACATAGTCATTACGTAGACTTTGCACCATGAGATACAGGTTTATTTTTTTTTTGGTGCATGGGAAAAGTTTGAGAAAATAAATAAGAACTTGCTTGTGCGGCAGTGCAGTAAAAATTCGATATTTTATGAGTAACTTCACCAGAACCATTTTCGCTGTTACATTATGAGCCATTAATCTTAGCTAAATGTATTTTTTTTCAATCAATTAGCTGCATCAGTTTTATTTTGCGCGAGATGAATTAGCTGAATCAGTTTTTTTTTTTTTTTTGCGCAAGATAAATTAGCTGGATCAGTCTCTTCGCTTCATATGTTGTCTTCCAAATCTCGATCTTCTAGGAATTTAGGCACATTTTGGAGTTTGAAATTATTCAAATGAATATACAATATCAGAATCCGGTTTGAAGGAAGGAATCGTTAGTTTTCTTCGACAAAGAGGGTTTTTTATATATTGCAAGTTTGTTCATTCAAATTTTAAGATCATAATTTAATTTAAATATTATTAGCGTATGGCCGCATCGTTCAAGCATGCAATCGGGCTTTGATTTATACAAAATAATCGACACGATTGTCAAAGAATAGTTTATTGTGTACCGATTAAAGAGCAAGAATTTGAGTAAAATATTTCGGGAAGACTCGGAATTTATTCCAATGATGTAATTATTGCAAATCGAGATTTGAATGATTTTTCACGCACATTCTGACGTGTTTTGCATGTGTTGAATTTCGATAAGTCTGTAGAAATTTACAGAGATGGTCGATTTGGAATTCTAGATGAATGATGTGTTTTTCATCATTTAAAGGTGAATGATACCGGCTCGAATCCGTCCTTGAGCTCGACGAGCAGCAATAACAAGAAGACCGAAGTGGATGCACTCACGGATCTCTTGGTTCAAAGCATGAAGAGTTCCTCGGATCCAGATTTCTTTGGTTTGTCCATCGTTGTCGAATTTATTTATTTATTATTATTTATTTTTTAAAGCAATATTTCTAATAACTTGTGTGCCCAGGGTTGTGTCAGAAATGCGGAGAGAAGGTTGTTGGCGAAGGAAACGGATGCACGGCTATGGACAATTTGTACCATATCAAGTGTTTCACGTGTTTCAATTGTGNTACAGAGATGGTCGATTTGGAATTCTAGATGAATGATGTGTTTTTCATCATTTAAAGGTGAATGATACCGGCTCGAATCCGTCCTTGAGCTCGACGAGCAGCAATAACAAGAAGACCGAAGTGGATGCACTCACGGATCTCTTGGTTCAAAGCATGAAGAGTTCCTCGGATCCAGATTTCTTTGGTTTGTCCATCGTTGTCGAATTTATTTATTTATTATTATTTATTTTTTAAAGCAATATTTCTAATAACTTGTGTGCCCAGGGTTGTGTCAGAAATGCGGAGAGAAGGTTGTTGGCGAAGGAAACGGATGCACGGCTATGGACAATTTGTACCATATCAAGTGTTTCACGTGTTTCAATTGTGGTGAGTTCAGTGTATCCCGAGTTATCCGTGCTTAATACGAGCCCGATCAGTTGAATAATTTACCCAATCAATCTTTTTTTTTAATATTTTTATTTAGAGGCACGCTGTTTTAATATTTACCCTTGCTTGACTTCGTCTTTCGAAGTGCATTGGATCCTTGATGGACTTGGAGAGTCTTACAATTGTGATAAAATAATATCGCTGTACCACAATGTGTTGCAAATACTTTTCCAGATGTGTTCGAAAGCTAATGTTGCGAGTATTCTTGTGAGTCTGTCTCTCAATTGCAAATTTTCAACGCTGTGTAATTTGAATGAATCTGAATGTGGGAATCACGTCACAAAATTTAATATTATGTCTGAATCAGGAGTGAGAAGCGTTATCATAAAATGTACTAATCATAGGAAATGGAAGTGTACAGAGTTTTCATCGATTCAAGTTCTCCAAACATTGTCTTTCAGGTGCCTTTTTCTTACTTGTTTTTCACTTTTCAAATTTTTCTGGAAAGTTTTGTGCAATCTTCATGAATTACTCATTTCTGAAACCTTCTCTTGTCCTAAATAGATGCAATACCCTGTGTAATTAACTGAATCTGAATGTGGAAATCAGATCGAAAAATGAAATGGCGTGTCTGAATTAAAGAGTGAGAAGCGTCAACGTGAAATCTAACATTAAAAAAAATAAATGAATAGGTTTTTCACCAAGCGATTTTCCCGATAAGGGTTTTCCTTAGGTGCTTTTTTTCTTCCGCGTTTTTCACTTTTCAGACGTTTTATTTTGTTATTGACCAGTGAATGGCTTTGCAATTTTCATGATTTATTCATTTCTGAAACCTTCTGTTGTCCTAAATTCTCAGCTCTGTGCAATTGACTGAATTTGAATGCGGGAATCGCATCAATAAAATGAAATAGTATGTCTGAATCAGGAATGAGAAGCGTCAACATAAAATGTACTTGACCAAGTATAAAACATGTATCATAAAAAAGAAAATGTATTGGTTTCTCACTTTTCAAACGCCATATTTTTTATTGACGGGTGAAGGTTTGTGTAATCTTCATCAAGTATTTGTTTCTGAAACTTGATTTTATTTTTTCGCAGGATTACAGTTGGAAGGGAAACCGTTCTATGCAGTCGATGCACAGCCGCATTGTGATGAGTGTTATTTGGTGAGTTACGACGTCTTCATGTGTGTTCGCGTGAAATGAGTTTCGATTATTTTCGGGAATATTCCAGGAAACATTGGAGAAATGTTCCGTTTGTCGGAAGCCGATCCTGGATCGGATCCTTCGAGCCACTGGGAAACCGTATCATCCGAAGTGCTTTTGCTGCGTCGTATGTGGAAGTGGATTGGACGGGATCCCCTTTACTGTTGACGCTCATAATCGGATTCACTGCATTGAGGTTTGTAGTACAGTATGGACACAGGGTGGACCAAAAGAAAAAAGAAACCGATTTTTGAATGACAATATGGCGCAGTACCGAATTGAGCAACTTTTTTTTTGTGGAAAGTTTTCATTCAAATGGCTCTTGTGGCCGTATAATTTAAACGGAAATCGAAAAAGCTTTCATTTGGTGTTTTTTATTGATTGGTGTTGCTCAATTTACCATTGGAAAAATAGTTTCGATTTTTTTTTTGCCCACACTGTATATTGAGAAGTGTTGAGGTTAACTTGTCCTTAAGCTAGCTTTGAATGTTGAATTTTACGTTTTCCGTATTGATTTTAGATTGTTTTCGATTTTTGTCAGGGCCGCTGAGAAGAAATTTATCGTTGAAGGATATTTATTTTTTCAATCTATAGGAAGATGAACGATATTTCGTAGTAAGCTAACCTGAACTGATTTTGGCTAACCTTGAAATCGACGATAAAGCATAAGAAAAGCTGATGCTGAAGGTGGTGTATATTCAAGGTGATGCCCCGACTTACGAACAATTCGACTTGAGGACATTTAAATTGGGACACTCGCCAACATTTTTCGAAAAATATAAAAGAAGGTTGTTGTAAAACAAGTTTATATATATTGAAAAAATTGGGCTGTTCGTATTCACAAAATTAAAAAAAAAATGTTTCAGTATGAATTCACGCTTATCAATAAAAAACAAGCCTAATGTTGAGCTTATTTTTTAAAGTTTTTTTCCATCATTTGTGCGCAGTATAGCAAGATTTTTTTCTTGTCCCTTGCATCTTTAGCTCGTCTTGATGCCAAAAGATCGTATTCTGTGTGTTTTTCTTCTGCGCATTTATTTTCTGCATCATAAATAATTGGTATAAAATTCTTTAAGGGGACTTCTTTCTAATTTTTGATGAAAATTGAATATGTTTGCATTGAGATCTATGGCATAACACGCAGATGCTCTGAGGCCCTTCTAGCGACACCTACCGAGTAAAACGCGATGCTAACAGAGTTGAGAATAATGTACTTGTACCTGTGCTGACGAAATGCGGGCGCATTGAAAAACATCTGATGATTCTGTCGCGTCACGCTTCCTTCATTTTAATAGATTTTAATATCATTTTTTTTTCCCTTCCAGGATTTTCACAAAAAGTTTGCGCCCAGGTGCTCTGTGTGTAGGGATCCAATAATGCCGGAACCTGGGGAAGAAGAAACAGTACGTGTTGTCGCGCTGGATCGGAGTTTCCACGTGAAATGTTATCGTTGTGAGGTGAGCGTTTGTTTCTTTTGAAAATACTGTACCGTACTGCTGTACGCACAATAGATTATTGGTGTAAGCATACATTTTGGATGATGCATGTGGAGTGAAATTCCTTCGCAACAAATCTCTTCACAACGAATTTTTCGTCACAAGGCATATTTTTTCTCTTCGAGCTTTTTTAGAGTGGAGCTTTTTTTTTGTACACACTGTACCTTATTATTCATTGATTTCTTCGTGAGTCATGCATTTCTATGATTTGTGCGTTTATTCTTCGTCCTAAGGTTCATCTGCAGAGTTCGTAGAAGTTTTTTTGTCGAATTGGCTTATTTAAAATTCAAATCATAGAATCGTTGTCACAAATTATGAATTTTTCTTTTTTTTTTTCACTGGACCTGACTATTTCGCGATTTCAATGTGTAATTACGAACATTTTTAAATTTCGAGTTACTGGAAGTTTTCTTCGGAGTAAGCATGAAAAAGAACAAAAGATAAATGGACATTGAATGAAAGAGGAACAAGTTTCTATGGAAAATTCAATTTAATGGGCATGCAAACAGCTTGTGCTTACGTCAGTTACGTGCGACTTTTGAAGTAAAGAGGAATTAACTTATTTTCTGACTCCGTATCTTTTTCCAAAACGAAATCAGAATTTCGCTGATTATGCTCAAGTTGTGGTTTTCGAAATATGTGTTGTACGAAATTCGAGGAACGATTCGCGAGTCATGTTGAACCTTGAAGTTGAATAAAGCGAAATTTTCGGAAGAGTTTTAAAAGGGAAAGAGAGCTGTTGAGTTTATGTATTCGAGAAGAATAATTCGACCCGTCATCGGTTCTTCCTTGGTGTTGAAGCCAGGGTAATGATTACCATACCCCAAAATGTTATTTGTATATCTTCTTCAATTAAAGCACGGTACAAAAAATTGATTAGTAATAAATAGTAATACTGTATGATAGTAATTAGTATAATATATAATATTTAATTATACAGTACTGTATTACTAATCTATAATTAGTTTCTATGTCGTGTATCGAGAAGATAAACTACAGAAACACTTGATATCGTTGATGATGCTGTGAAAATTTTTGAACGAACCTTTTTGCATAGAACCGAAGATATATTTTGGAGAGATCACCAGGTCTTGTATAGACTTCTCCTTTGATATATTTGAAGTTGTCACGTCAGCAGTACTTCTGTGACAGTCAACAAGACGCGCTTTTATTTTTTTGGGAAAAGATTCATTCCTGTTTCCACCATTAACAGTCAACAACAGGAAGACTCTTTTGTGTGTCTGTTCACGATTGATTTTTATGAGGCGGAAATTGAAGACAGTGTGTGTTGAATTTTTCGCCTGGCTTTTTGCAGTTTGTTGCTATTTGGCTATTTTTTTCATATTAATTCCCATATTTTTGAAAGAATGCTGCTCTATTTCAGGAAACATACAGTTTCCTGAAATAATGTTGGGAATTTTCAACATTCTAAATAATATTCAGAATTTTCATCATTGTAAAATTTATGATTGGAATTTTCAAAATTAATTTTTAAAAATTTTCTTCAGAGTTTCTCACGAGTTCGTTGTAGGGAGATTTTCTTATATAGTATATCTTTCCTTGATTGGGAAAACAATACTGTAGTTTTCTTTTCTTAATTTTGACGAAATTCATTTCTCTTTATTGAGTGTATGTATTTTTTTGTTTTGTTTTTGCAGGACTGTGGATTGGCGTTGTCGTCGGAAGCCGAAGGCAGAGGTTGTTATCCGCTCGACGGCCACGTTTTGTGCAAAAACTGCAATGCGAAACGCGTCCGTACATTGACGTCTCCAAGGTCGAACCTCAGAACTCGAAACAGATAGCGATATCTCAATATCCGTGGAAAAAAATCTGGTTTTGAGAACCTGATCCGTTTCCGTTCGCAATTGACGAGTTTTCAATATTATGAGTTTTTTCTCTCGGGAGGCATTGGAACGTTGAAAAAAAAAAGTTTGTAATTTTCCCTGTTTTGTGCCACTCGTTGTCTCCAACTTTGCTTATGTTTTAGACGGCTTGTTGGTAATATTATGAGAATTTTTTTAACTGTGCTGTTGGGCATGTAAATCTTGAAAAGTAATTTTTTTTCATCATACTCCATTTTTAGTGTTTCCTAACTTTCATTGTCGTGGCTTTTTTATTGATGACGCAGCACATTCGAATTCGGTGAGTAACTTATGAAAATTTGCATAGGAACGACGAAAAAATTTTTCTGGCTTGACTGCACTATCAATAAAATATTGTATGTTTTCGTTCACTCATTTTGAAACGCAAAATAAAATGTTCGTTTTTCTCGCATTGTTCTGTAGTTCCCCCAATTCTGAGAATTTATTTCTGTTGCATAGATTTTTTAAATGTTAAATTTGACTTTTTTGTCTAAAGTTCCATAAAGTTAGGCAATTCGGGTTTGGATGAAGTTTGTTATTGTTCATTTGTGCGACACCTGTCCGATATTCTAGAAAACAATGTCGTGCGTTTGATATTGAGAAATCCTCCTGATTTCTGATGCAATAAATCGCATGACGAAAAGATAAATTATGTAGGCATATTTTTGAGGAAATAATTAAAGGAAGACGATTTTTAAAGGCTTCTGATTTTGATGAAATAAAATACAGTACTTTACGGTGAACTTCTGGTAAATTGCGAGCGGAATCGGATCATTCCTCGTCGTGTTTTCGCGGAGGCTGTGCGTCCCTGGAACGAATACGCATTTAAAACAAGTTCTGTTCCGTTTGTATTATCTTGTGTTTTTTTTTCTGCTGTGAATGACGAGGGGAATTCTCGAAACCCTGGGTATTTTTTTTGTTTGTTGTTTGTTACGGGAGGGACTGGAATCGAGTTACAAAGACACTTGCAACGACGACGTATTTACAAGGAAGGAGGCTGCCATAAGCAACGAGACTCGCGTCCGGTTTTTGTACTGTATTTTTGAAAAGTGCCTTTTCCTTTTTTTTTATTCGGATATGGCTTTTTTTCTTCGTCTTTTTTTTCTCTCTTACGATGTGCATTTGAAAGTGGAAGCAACTCGCTGTGCCAAGCAGGATGTATTTTTCTGAAGGAAAAGATGGATTCATTTTTAGGAAAACTCTTTTGAAGTGTTTTTTTTTATTTAAGAAAATTTTTTATGGGAGGATCGTTCATGAGTTTTGTCAGTCTTCTGCTTTTTTTTTGTGAACGGATTTTTACGAGATGATCGTTGATAATTTTATGATCATTGTTTCAAATTTTGCCTACCGAAATTTGTTGAAAAGAGAAGTCACCTCATTACTAAGAATGGTTAGTTCATCAGCTATGCTGGAATATTTCAGGAAGTTGATGCTTAAAATATTTCGAAAATATTTTTGATGACATAAGAAAACTGCCTAGGGCATTTTGTGTTCTTGATGCTGATTGAGGATTATCTTTTATGATCATTTTTTTTTTAGTTTTTGCGTACCAAAATTGAATTCAAGAGAAGTCTGACTTTAAAGTGCACCTGAATATTCCGAGGATGTTCACTTTTCCGGTATTGCTTGTATATTTCAAGAATTCTCTTGTCAGTTAATTTTTTCGAATTATTTAGAAAATCCTTCTAGTGACGATGAAAAATCTGCCTGGAGCAATTCCGTATTGTTGATCCCGATTTTGAAGGTTTTTCCAATTTTTTCGATTGCTGAGAAAGGTGATACTGTATTTCTATCTGAAGTAAATCATTAGCAAAGAGGCTTGTCAAAAAAAATTTTTTTTTACGGAAATCAAAAAGAATTTTTTTTTTTAGAATTTTGACTCGAGTCACTTGAGCATTTTCCAAATAACATATTTTCCAAGAATTGACAGAACTTTTGAAACATTCCTCCCAAGTTTCTTGAGCCCTCAGTGACTGGAATTATCGAAATTTATTTTATTGAACTTTTTCAGAATCACGGAAGAGTTATATTTCATTTACCTTGTCAAGAGACGAGAGGAAGTTCCACGAGAAAAATGTGAGTAGACGCGTTACTGTCAATTGAGTACACATTTTTCAATTGACTTTTTTTTTTGTTCGCAGGGAAATAACGGTGACAGCGTCAGTGCAGCCGATTCAACGAACGGGTTACGTGACGTTTCTGTACCCGGAAAAGTCGAGTTTCGACGGAGAAGAAGATAATTCCTTCGAAGCCACTGAAACCAGCATTTCTTTGATCTCTGGAAACGACGGTTCTTCACTGACCCTCAGATTCTATGATGAACGTGTCACGATGATAAAAAGTCGAGTTTCGACGGAGAAGAAGATAATTCCTTCGAAGCCACTGAAACCAGCATTTCTTTGATCTCTGGAAACGACGGTTCTTCACTGACCCTCAGATTCTATGATGAACGTGTCACGATGATCCCAGAATCTGTTCGTTGCGTGCGGTCTGCGAATATTGACGGGATGAAGTGTGAGAGGTTCATGTTCCACATGGCGGGTTCCAGGGAAATTCAGGTCAGTTGACCCCCCCGATTCCCGGGTAATTCACCGAAGGCGACAAATCGAATGATTTTTTGATTTTATTAATTTCTCATGAATATATTTTTTTATATGGGAAGCGCGGGAAAATTCTATTTTGCTCCATAATGATTTTATTATATTTCACACTGTTCTTCCAATGGTATGGAACCAATTGAAATTACAAGTGAGACCCCCACATGCGGACAATTCGACATAGCGACACTTATTTTCTAATAAAAAAAATAACGAAAATGGCCCGACATGAGGACACTGACTCAACATAGGGACATTTTGTGATCAAATTGAAAATACATTTCAGGCCAAATTACAAGAAACAGATATTTCCAAAAAATGTATTCACTAATTCAAATTCAAGTGGCAATCAATTCTTTTCAGGGAATTCTGAAGAATATTTCTTCCACAAAACACCAATTAAAAATTATATAATTTAAGTCTACGGGAAAAAAAGACTCGAAGTAGGGACATTTCGACTTGGGGACACTCTTGATGCACCAATTGCGTCCGCATCTCGGGGTCTCACTGATATTTCTGTAGCTTTTGAAGGAAAGCGTGATTTGGATTTAAAAAAAAACTTGAATACCAAAATTTCCCCTCCTTGAGTGTCTCCTTTTTTTTTAAAGTTGAAAAGATGCTTTTCTGACGTACGAACCACATGTTATTAATACGTGCCCGAAATTCACGTTCGCAGATTGTCGACTACGAAGACGCCATGAAGGAGACCATCGCCGCCGCCGCGGAAAGAGAAGGCTGCCTAGGCGGCCACACCGCCATCGAACTCGTGTCGTGTCGCACTTGCAACTCTGTCCTCCTCGACGCCTCCGCCGCTGGCCCGCGTATCGCGATAGAGACGCCGTTTCTCGCTGTCGAATGGCGTGCCGCCGCCAGCTCCTTCTTTTGTCATCCGACCCACGGCGGCGGTGGCGACACTCATCGAGACGAGCCCGTCGCCGGACCCGGCCGCCTCATTGCATTCCCTTTCAAGTTGAGAACGGACGGCGACGCGTGCACGGAGACGGTCGGCGGAGACGGCGCCGTGTGTCCCAAGTGTAAAGCGCTCGTGGGACTCGGCGAGGACTTGTTTTTGGACGCCGTCAAGTTGAGTTTTGATGATGATGATGGCGGCGGCGGCGGTGGTGAAACTGGGTTGAAGTCGACGTTTGAGCGGCTCGTTTGGGCTATTGTGAAGGCGTTGCCTGGGAGGGTCGAACCCTTGACTTGTGTCCTGGTTCCTGTGGATAGGGACAGTGTGGAGAATAGTGTTGATGCCGGCGACGGTGAGATTTTTGTTTTGTTTGCCATTTTAAGTGACTCTTCAGATTTTATTTATTCATTTTTTTGCCGTACATCTTTTGTTGCCTGAGAAATTGATGGAAAAACTCGATTGCGTCTTTGACCTGAGATATTCTCTTATGGTTTGGGTTCTTGGGAAAACATTTGTTGAGACAGATGAAAAAGAAGCATGATTTTGTTGCAAAAAATGATGCGAAGATCAGATGAACCTCGGTAACTCGGACTTGCTCAAGTCGAAGACCTCAATTCTTCGAATTTTGTCAAGTCCTTGTCTAAATTTCCTTAGAACCAACGCATTAAAAAATTCCTGGACTCTATGACTTCTGATCTCAAACCACCATAATTCGACTTTTCTGGAGGCCTTTTGTCTACATTGAGACCCTGAGATGCGGACATAATTGGTGAATCAAGAGTGTCCCTTAGTCGAGTCTCATTTTCCCTTAGACTTACATTATATAGATTTTAATTGGTGTTTTACGTACAAAATATTCACCATAATTCCATGAAAATAAAAATTTTCTCCCAATTTAAACTGATTCCAATCAATGTATTTCAACACAATTTGGACATTTGGGGAATTGAATTCTGGTATCTCTGTAGAGTACACAGAGATGTTGGCGTTCTCTGTAAAAAAAAATAACATTCAAGCAAAAAAGAGAGAAGGAAGTCCTTCTCTGCTGGAGGTAATTTTTTTAAATTAGCTATATGGATGGTAAATTGGTGAGAGAAATGCCAAAGAACTTTTCTTGCATCAATTTTAAGGTTGGAAATATCTGTTTCTTGTAATTTGGCCTGAAATGTATTTGCAATTTTATCACGAAATGTCCTTATGTTGAGTCAGTGTCGTCATGTAGGGCCTTTTTTCTTATTTTTTTCATTAGAAAATAAGTGTCCCTATGTTGAATTGTCCGCATGTGGGAGTCTCACTGTATTTATTTTTTGTCCCAGGAAAGCTAAAAAAAATTGGTTGCTTTTTGAAAGGAAGTGTAAGACAAATTGGGCAAATGAACCCTCTTCTCCAAGTTCAACATCCTGTCGACTCTTTTAAGAAGCAATTCAAGACCCAGCAAATTATCCGCAAATACAATTTTGTTCTATTTGTCTTTCTTTCCGTCCAACCAAAAAATGCTTGTTTTCCCAACTCGAAAAACCTCTCAAACTCGAATTTCTAATCTTTGTGTTTTTTTTTTTTTAGGTGAGGTGTTGACGCTGAAAGTGATCCCAGGACGTCTGTCTGTATTCCAAGCAACCCGGGATATTTCCCCGAGATCCGCCATTTGCGTGGAATCCGAATTCTCACCTGGATTCCGTTTATTGTGGCATTGTGGGGGTTTGGAAGATGATGATGGTGTCAAGTTGCATGCACCGGTTGCTCCTGTTGTGGCACTGGCTCGCTGTGGATTCGACGCCATCTTGAAAGAGCTGAAGGCTCTGTGCAGGGCTCAAGGCGTGGATTGGCGCTCCGAGGGCTTCTCTTTGATCACTGTGCCGATTTGAGGTTTACCTTTTTAGGGAGGAACAAAATTGCTTTTGATATGACGCTTTTTAATTTTTAATTTTTGTGGTTATTTTGTTGTGATTTTCATGAGAGGGTGATGGAAAAGAGCAGTTGAGCCTCGGTTAATGGACTTTTTTGTGTTCCACTGAGGAGTTTATTGTGCAGAAATTCTGCTGACCAAGTAAACCTTTCTGACTTGCAAGTTTTCAGCTTGAAGACTTCCCTGTTTCAAATTTATGTTAAGTCATCTGAATTTCCTTTGAAACCATTGAAAATTAAAGTTTCCCTTACCTTGAATTTTCTGAGGCCTTCTGGCAACAATATTATTGACACAAAAAATATAAAAGCAATACAAATGTAACTTGATGTCTTTTGAATGGAAGTGAAAGACAAAGTGGGAAAATGAACCCTTGCCTCCAAGTTCAGCATCCTGTCAACTCATTTGAAGAAGCAATTTTTGGCCCAGAATATCACCAATTACAATATCCTGTAATTCTTCCTTTTTCTCTCAGCAAAATCCCAAAGTAAAAATGTTTTGGGTCCCCTCTGAGTTTAACTAAGATGGGTTTTGACCTTAATGGGAAACTTCATAAAAATGGATTAATTATTTCCATTCTGTAAAAAGTTCTCTGAATATGCACTTTTAAACAGTGTAGATTATCTTTTGTATTCTTCGGGAATTTCTGTGGAATAATTTGCAGTGAAAATTGGTTATTGCCCAAATCCATTGTAGAAAAATGAAATATGCCAAGCGTCCATTATCCAAGGTTCAGCTGTACAGGTTTGGCCAGGAAAACGTAATTTACCCTGGGGCAATTTCACATTGATTGAAATGATTTTGTGGATTGATTTTATTCATTGACCTGCAAATTAATAAGACTTGAAATTTGCAGTAAAAATAAATATGAACTAATTTGTGGGCGAGTGTCTAAAAACAATCCACTTGCTCATTTTTCTTGCAAAAGGAGGGTTTCAGTTTTATTTAACACCTTGTGCATAATTCTTTTTTTTTTCTGCTTCACAGGTGAAGAAGTGTGCGATATTTGGTGAACTAGTTCAGCATTTGCTACTTGGTGACTTTGTTTTTGCTTGCACCTGCATTTTGTAAGTGAGTTTCAGTTTAAAAAAAATCAAATTTGAAAGATCAGGATGACATTGCATGTTTTCAATATTCATGAAAGTGAATTGTATTGCTACATAATTTAACTTACTAGTGACGCTCTGAAGTCGAATTTGAATGAACTCCAAGAAACATTTTTGAAATAGTTTTTTATTCAGGGCACTATTGTAAAAAATAAAATTCTCATCAGAGGAATTCTTCATAAAGAATGAAGACATATTTTCTTTCTTGTTTTCCAAATTTGAAAGATTATGATGTTATTGCATGTGTTGAATTGCAAGTAAGTCTTGGGACTACATACTTGAGTTTACAAACTCTCTAGTAAAATTAAACTCTCTAGAAACTCTCTAGTAAAATTTGAATGAACTCCAAGAAACATATTTGGAAAATTTTTTTGATTTAGGCCATTGGTGTAGAAAATTTGGAAGTGTTTGTAAGGAAGAATTTCAGAGGATTCTGTATTTTAAGTACTGTACTGTATACTTGAACTTCTCTTGTTCAAATTTTATGTGACTCCCAAAACATTAAAATTTCAATTTTCAACTGCTATTGAGTTGAGAAATCTGGTTTCAATTGAGTGAGTTAACTGTTGGTAATTATTTTTCTGGCTCAAGGTTTTGGAACTGTTCATTATTCAAAGATGTAATACCTGCAGAAATATGCCCTCTGGGGAACATAAACCAAATAAATTTGATTTTTTTTTTTCTTTTGGGACAAGTGTTATTTGCCAATGGAACATTTCACAGTTGTACCTGTTCTTAGGTAAAAAAAAAAAAGGAATTTGGACTCAAACTGGCTTGAAAGTGTTTCCAGTGTTTATTTTTTTGTATTTTTGCTGTTATATTTTTTGCATATGTAACATTGACATCTAAGAAAGAATCCCAAGAACCTCTGATACAGTTGTTGACTGTATGCGTAAATTCATGTTCATTGGGTACAAGTGTTCGTTGGAGTTGTTCCCATCAGCTGTCCATCCTCCTTTCCGTCTCTCTGTCTCCTGGTCCTTGTGCTGGTCTGGTTTTTTTTTTATGGGAGGGAATGCCCTGTTTATGCGAGGGCTGGCTCAAAAGTTGCGACACTTTAATTGTGTGTTGAATAATGAACGCAAAGTGAAATTAATTTTATTTCTGGGTGACGCTAATTTTTGCTTCGGTTAATGCCAACCTGATCCAGATAGTGGATTACTTGAAAAAATGTTGATACTTGAAATTGAAATAGGGTAATTTGGATAATGTTGTTCGCAGTATTATTTTCCCGGTTGATGTATTTGTCTTTTTATTGTCTTGAATCAGCTGAACATTGTTTAGTCTTGATTCCATGTACAGTGAAATTATTTTACCATGAATCATGTTTTTTAGACCCCTGGCCAATAGATGTAATGTTGAAACAGTTCTTTTATAAATAAACTTTTTTTTATGATGAACCTATTTTACTGGTCCCAGCAGCTTTGTTGTAATGAGATTTTACTGTATTTTTGCTTGTGCAATTGAATCTCCTATAGTATAATTTGACTCAATGGGATTCTAAAAATAGTTGGCTGGAGAGAGTTTTTGAGTTGAGTAAATTTGGCTACAGTTGGTAAAGGTAATCAATGAACAGTATTTTCTAGTGAAATTATGCCAAAATTCCTAATTGTAGGAAGTTGCCTTTTTTCCTGGAGAGCATGGAGAAAATAACATTTTTTTCTGGAGTTGTTAAGCCTCAATTTAATTAGTTGAAAGTTACACTGAGTGAGATTCAAGGCTTGAAATTTGTTTCAAGTTGAGGTTTAAATTGCATTGGACTTGAGTGAATTTGCCTTGAACTCACTGAAAATTGTATTTAGGGAGTTTTTTACTTGACAGGTTCCAACTGTATATTGTGTCTTGATACACCATGTTTTCCTTCATTTTTTTTTCAGTTTACAGGTGGACCCTTTCTACAAAGACTTTCTCTGCTCAACGCCTTTTTTTTTTTTTTGCATGGGGTTCTTTACAACAAAATTCTTCCTCCAAAGAATTTTCAATGTTTGCTGGAATTTAATTCCACCGGTATGTGATAATTGATGTATTTTCTATCAGACTAAGACTAGTATGTGAGTCAGACTAAATGTGGTCCACCTCTGTGCTTCTCATTATGTGTCTGTCTGTGGAAGTGGAATACTGATGGAAATTATGAAGCAGCCCTTGGTGGGGAAATACTGGGAGGTGTGTTTCATGGCGAGCCTCTTTGTTCATATATTTTTTTTATATCGTATTATATTTTATATTATTTGGTGTTGCTTCCATTATTCTGGATGGTGGGGCATTATTCCCTCCCCAAGCTTGGATTGGTGTGGGTTTCGTTGAGTTTTTTTGTGTACGCAGTACGCATATGTCTCTGAGCAGTGACTGGTGTTTGTGATAGATATTTATATTTTTGAAATTGTGGGATTATCAGTTTGTGATGAGTATTGCTGTAAGAACTGGCTTTATTTTTTACCTCATTAGAACTTGTTTTTTTAACCTCATTTTTGTGTGCAGTACGCATATGTCTCTGAGCAGTGACTGGTGTTTGTGATAGATATTTATATTATTGAAATTGTGGGATTATCAGTTTGTAATAAGTATTGCTGTAAGAACTGGCTTCATTTTTTACCTCATCAGAAAAGTTGTGTGTGTGTTACTGTAAGGAATTAGATGTCCAATAGAAGTGTTGATTTTTAAAAATCCATTTGTTGAAGAATTTGAAATTTTCACCAGAATTTGAAAAATTTACAGTTGAACATTTATAACTGGAACCTCTTTAATTGGAATACCTTCCTGAGTCAAATTTTTTCCAATTCCATGTTGAATTCCCCTGAGAACAATGTATTATAAACCTCCCTAACTCTAAGCTTTTTCCTCTCAAACCTCCCTGACTCAAATTTTTGGATGCCTTTTGTCTATTTTTTGACACAGGAAAGAAAGAAGCAATAAAAACATTATTTCATGTGTTCTGAAAGGAAAGGAAAGACTAAATTGGGAAAATTTAGTCCCCTGCCTCCAAGTTCATCATCCAGTCAACTCATTTCAGATGCTTTTATTGCCCAGGATATCATTTACAATTTTGTGCAATTTTTCTATTTTTTTCTATAGAAAAAATGCTTGGTTATGTTACTTGAGCCTCAATTATTCAAAACCTCCTTAAGTTAAGTTAAATTTTTATGTGGTCCCTTGAAATTTGACTTGGAGAGGTACAACTGTATTTTGAAAACCAGAAAATTAAAATGTTACAACTCTCTTGGTAATTTTGAAGCACATATTTGAAAATTTCCCAAAATTCAAAAGATTGCAACAAAATCACATAAGCAGCCCAAACCAATTTATTGATGATAATGATTAAGTATTGATGTTCAATAACTATTGATGATGAATAGGTTATGAACCTCCTCTTAAAATTCTTCACCACTGTATTCATATTTATCACCTCCAGATCAACTGTTCAATATGGTACAGTATTTGTATATTTTTGTAGTACTTTACTGTATTTGAAGATGTCACTACCAGTACAGTATTGTCATTGTAAAATTGACTTTTTTATTGTATAGATTTTGGAAATTGACTCATCAAAATTTTGTTGGGCAGTGGAATTGGTCCTGTTTAATTGTCATGTACTTAATAAATTGAATTTTCCTTTCTAAATATTCTTCAGAAAAAATTATTGTTTTGAAGTATTTATTGTCTTTCTTATTGTTTTTGATGAACAATTAATTAATAATTATTTAATAATAATTGAATATTAATAAGAAATATTGTATTTTTTGTCTTTCTTATTGTTTGAGGAATAATTAAGTACAGTATTATTCAATAATAATAATTGAAAATTAATAATTTATATTTAATTAAAGGGTGAAATTCCGGCATGATTTCAAACAGCATTTTTGTAAATTCGTTTGAAATTTTGGAGCTGAACTTTTTTCAAGCCGTATTTAGGAAAGACTCAAAGAATGTCAACTTGGGAAATGAATCTGTGTCTCTTGGTAGCTTTTTGATTGCGTCATCGTCCCACGGGTTTCAAATACTGTGTATTTGAAAATGAAATGAAAATAAAAATAGTGCGTGATATTGAAAAATGAACAAAAATACAGTATATAGATATATATATATATATTTGAATACTTGGCACGTTTCGCCGGTTTCTTTCCAGAGTTTAGGTCAGTCACATGGCTTGTTTTTATTTATTTTTTTCTTTCTTGGGGTTCTGGCACCAGGTATTCGTTTCCATGTGGTTCATTTTTTCGCCACCTTGTGATCATGCGCCGTTTCTTCTTCTTTGATGGCTTTCTGTGGCTGGTGAAGAACCCTTTTTCTTGTTCGGTCACTGCCTCCAAGAGGTGACTTGAATTTCGAGTCTAAAAAATAAAAAATCGTGTGATATATATTATTTATTTAGTTACGCTCGTATTAATTTTTTAAAATCAATTTCATGGCTTGATTATATTTTTAATTTTTCTTGAAATTAAGTATAAGGCGTGAGTTTGTGGTTGTTGGTGTGACCAGGTGGTGATGAGTGCGCATTCGAATTAATTTATGCGTATGTGATGCTGCATGATTTAAAAAAAATCTTTTTTGAATTTTTTGCCTCTGCTAACTTGAAACTTCCAAAATAAGGAAAGACAGAGGAAATTTAAAATTTTTTTGAATAGTACCGTATTTTCCTCAAAAGGGTTTGATTTGTTCAGAGATATCTGTTGAAACAACTCTGTGGGGAAAAAACTATCTTTACACTATTTTCGAAAATAATTTTAATTTATTTAAAATGGTGGAAAAAGTGAAGTCAGTGCAATTCAACAAAAAGGTTAAAAATGTGTATCCTTTGAAAGAAGTGAGAAAGTGGACGCGTGAATCTTACAACAACAACAAAATTGACTTGACGAAATGTTTCTTTGTTTTGTTTTGTTTTGTTTTACAGGAGCTCAAACTTTTTTTTCATTTTCTTCGTTTCTCTGACGCACTAAAAAAAGGAGTGAAAAGTTATTCAGTGGACCAGCGACAGAGACTCGGTTTTTTTCTTTTGGTTGATGGCTGCGAGACTGGATTCGCAGTTGATTCGGTTCTTGGTGTCTTGATAATAATAATTGGGGCACGTGATTCAGCAAAAAACAAATAAAAAATGCGGCTGAACCCGGTGTATTTTGCCAAAAGTATCGGGCGAATGCTCGAGTACTACTCTCAGTTCAATCCGTCGCCCTTGTCCATCAAGCAGTTCATTGACTTTGGTGAGTTGAGTTTGTCTTTGAATTTAAATAATTCATGTAATTTATGTACAGTCAAAACCCCTATTTAGTGCCACTGTTTGTCCTGGCACATTTTTTTTGGCACTATGCAGGGGTGGCACTAAATTGGGGATATTGTATGAAAAGAACATGCATTCATTGAAGGCTTTCCATGAAGGTGAAACTGAATTTGTTTTTTGGCAGAATTTTAGTCTATTGATTCTGTCTTTTAAAAGACAAATGCACACAAAATAATTTGAGGTGTTTTTAATGAATTTATATTAATTTTATAGTACAGTACAGAATGGACCAGATTTTTTACATACTGGGCCAAGGTGAGAGAGTGAAACTGTTTCTTGAAGTTTTGTATCAACCTTGTAAGGTTTTATAAGTGAAAATTAGATTAATCAAGCCTTACACCTTGATTGCGGTTTTTTAGCAGAGTTTTCAAATTTGAGGATTTCAGATAAGAGCTGAATGAATCAAAACACGGCAATTGGCCGGGCGCAAACCGACCGGGATTTCTCCCTACTAGTGCAGACCTTTCTTTGATACACATACACACACACACAAAGTTAATCACACACACAGTTTGCACAGAATACAAGGTATACACACTCAGATATACAAGAGTCACAGCAATCAACAACAATCCAAGTCGTAGGATTTCAAGTAGTCCAGAAGTGGACTTGATTTCCTTTACAATTGAAGTTTCGTAACTGATTCAAGTTCCTGATTTGATAAGGTATTCCCACACGGCTTTGAGGAGATAAATTAAGAAGGACGAGTCCTGTTCTTGACTAAAGAGGGTTGAAAAACCAAGGGAAAAAAGCAAAGTACCAAAGCTTTCGATTTCGCAATGTTTTGAAATCACCCTGATAGTGGAGAATTTTCTAAGTACCGAATTTCAAATTTTTAAGAACACAACTTCAGCAGTTTGACCTTCTAAACTTGACAGTGTCTGTTACCCAATTTTCTGGGGTTTATATACAGATTTTGCACCAATTTTGGCGGGTCTTCTTTGTTTGTGCAGATTTGAAAACACCAGGTGGTAGCATCTGCTGTTTTCGCAAAGGTTTCATAAATGTGTATTTTCCCGAAAACCGGGTGGACGTTTTACAATCTTTCAACCGTTTGTTAAATTAGTTTTCTGCTGGAAAACATGGGTCTTGACAGTTTGCAAAGCTGTTAAAACTATAAAGTTGCCAGTTAAGCATTTCTAAACTCAAGTTTTTTGACAGCTCAAGACGTCCTGAATTTGGGAGACAAATTGTTTTACAATATAGGAGACGAGATTTTTCGTCTCTTCCTTGACAGCTGGTTTGTGTTTTTGCGAAGTCTTGAGGGGTCAAATGACCCCGAGTTTTCAGAGGAGTTGATGTCCCCCTGTCAAAAGGGTGGCGCCGACTTTTTTGGCAATTTGTTTTATCCCATTTCCAGGGATTGCTCTCCTTTTTTGGCCTCGAGGGTCTTCGTTCTGCCAATTCGTTTCACGTTTTATTTCAGGACACCCCTTTTGCGGGAATCGGTTTAACTTTTGTTTGTGTCGGCGCATCCTGGTGATGCGCTGATTGGATTACAGTTTCGGCTCCAATTTGGCGCCTTGTTTCATAGAGGGACCGCGAGAAAATTCCGCACAAACCTTTCAATAAAATCACAAAGATCAAGATTAGTGATTGCATTTTTTAGAGTGTCCTCATATTCTTTGCTGTGGGGGACATTCAAAGTAAGCTGCCCAATCAATTGCATGTAAATTCAGAATGGAATTTTCAAAATTATCCTGAACATGGGTATTTGATTCTCAGCATTAGCCTGAAAATTTCACTTGTAATATGCTTTAAATTATATGATTCTGGCCCATTTTCCATCAAGGACAGGGACATTTATGTGGCACAGAGTGAATTGGCACTAAATTGTAGGTTCTCTTAAGAGCAAAATGGAGGGAAATATTGTGGAACAAAATCAGGGGGCACTAAATGGAGGGTTGACTGTATAGTATTAATATTTATTGCAAGAAATTATGCTGTTCTTGAACACAGCAAATATTTTTCATTTTAAATTGAGTGTGGAATATTTTTGCAAGGAACCTGAAATAAGGGAAAGAATTGACTTGTGGGACAAAAATGTTTCATATTGCAAATTTTTTTGACCCATAAAACTCTCAAATTATGAATTTTCTTGGCCAGAAGTAATAAAAATAACATAATAAAGTTGTGCCCATATACTGTATATGTATATATTTTTTTTTTTGTTGAATTTATAAATTCAAGAGCCAGTATTATTGCAATTGGAGAGAATCTTTGTGGAGAATTTGAACAAGTTTATCTTGGTCCTCTAAAATTTTGGAAAGAGACTTTTTATGAAATTTTAGTGGTCAGGGAATTACATTGCCGTGCCAAATGATGTTTGCAACCTTTATTTCAATTGGGCGAGAATTGAGTTGATGACTGTTGCTCTGTGACACAGTTGGACCTAGAGATAGTTAGAGAGCAATTAACAAGATGGCGATACATTCTCCTCTTCTTATTGCCAGGCCTTAATGCGACGGAGAGGACGTCCTTCAACTTCCTCCGGCTGGAATTGCCCGTGAGGCTGGCCAACATCATGGCTGAAATCCAGCTGCTTCCCGAGCACCTGTTGGCGATGCCGTCGTCGAAGATGGTGCACGGCTGGTACGAGAGATCCTTTCTGGAGATCCTCGACTTTCAAAAGGCCGACTCCAACGACCCTTCCGTCTTGAGCACGTGAGTGCACATCATCATCGTCATTGTAGTCGTTGTGAAAATACTACTGCGTCAGTTTTTCTCATTTTTTATTCTTTCGAAAATGGTATTTTTTGACGCATATTATTATTGTTTCTGAATTTTAAAGAAATTCTTCGCGTTTTTTTTTACACGGCGTTTTTGGATCCATTTTTTAATTCAATCAAGATTTTAAATTNTTTTTTATTCTTTCGAAAATGGTATTTTTTGACGCATATTATTATTGTTTCTGAATTTTAAAGAAATTCTTCGCGTTTTTTTTTACACGGCGTTTTTGGATCCATTTTTTAATTCAATCAAGATTTTAAATTTTCAGTATTTCGACAATACACTTGAGGAATACAAATTTACCTGTATTCGTAGGTTCTGAATTTGTGCATTATCGTACTTTACAACCTGTGAGAGTTTCTTTTTTAATTAAAAAAACAATTATATATACAGTATATTGTCACATTTTTGGACGGTGGCGATTTTTCCAAGCGTTTCTGAATCACTTTTTTCATTCAGTCCAAATCATGTTTTTGTCCTTGTAATTTTTCAGATTTAGAATTTATTTTTGAATGTTTCTGAATTTAACTTCGATTGTGTATTTTTTTCTTAGATTTCTGGACACACTGGTCAAGATTCGTAACCGACATTCGAGCGTGGTGGAAACGATGGCGCAAGGAGTGATTGAGTTGAAGGAGAGCAAGAATGTGGACGCTGTGACGGAGAATGCGATTCAGTATTTCTTGGATCGGTTTTACATGTCGCGAATCTCGATTCGCATGCTCATCAATCAGCACAGTTGAGTAAAAACATAAAATTAAGATACAAAAAGGATGGGACCAATGAACCATTTCAGGTCAAATTTCATCAAGTTTCTGAATAATGTAAATTATGGAGGATGGAGTTGAATGAAAAAAAAAAACTATTATTACTGCCATGTCCGGAAGTCTGGGTTATGTATAAAATGATCGATTGCTTGATTTGTTTTTTCTCTGTCTCGATAGCTTTGTTATTTGGAGGAGACCTCAACAGTCTTCACAGCAACATTGGCTGCATCGACACGCAGTGCAGCATTGTGAATATCATACATGACGCATTTGAGAATGCGAGGTTCCTGTGTGAGCAATATTACCTGACTTCGCCTGAACTTGTTGTCAGAGGCGTGGATGGGAAAGGTGGGTAATTTTAGAGTAATATAATAATATTTAATTTTATTTTTCAAACATAAATGCTAATTATACCTTGAAATCAACCAAATGTGTGTAAAACATCATCATTCATCTTCATCTTTTTTGTGGGTTAAAAAGGGATCATTAATTTATGAATAATTTATTTTGTCTGTAAACTTCTCAAATAAATGCAGTACAGTAAACAGCAATTCGTCAAAATGTTTGGGTTCACAAATTATTTCAGTTTATGTTTTTTTAACTGCGCCTGAACTTGTTGTCAAAGGTGTGGATTGGAAAGGTGAGAGAAATTAAAGTAGCATTTGTTGTTGAGAAATTGAAATATTATTATTCAGTGAGATCTTATTATTCAGTTTGTTTATTGTTTTAGTTTTATAATAACTGTAAAACCTTCAGTAGAGAACTAAAACAAATATTATGTAGTATTAAATAAATATTGATTTATTCATTTCTATTATGATTTAATTCAAGAGGATCTATTTCTATAAATGTCTGAGCAATAAATTGCAGAGAATCTCTGTGGAGAAATTGTACAAGGCTAAGGGTTTATCTTGGTCTTCTAAATTTTTATCAAATTTTAGTGGTCCCAGATATTCTAACTCTGTCACATGCGTTATAACTTCTAAAGCCTTCTTTATTCGAATCACAGAACCCAAAGACCTGCAATTGGTATATGTTCCGTCGCACTTGTACCACATTTTCTTCGAACTGTTCAAGAACGCCTTGCGAGCAGTTGTGGAACATCATGGCTCAGGTTTAGTACAGTACAAGTGGAATTCTTCTTTTCACAATTAACTTCATGTTCATGTAATTATTGAATGTAGGTGCATCCGAGTATCCTCCGATTGACGTGCGAATTTCGCTCGGGAAGGAAGACTTGTGCATCAAGATGTCGGACCTGGGCGGAGGGATCCCACGCAGCGCCCTGGATCTCCTGTTTGCCTACACGTATTCCACTGCGCCGCAACCATCACCCAGTGGTTCCGGATCAGCTCCACTTGCAGGTGGAGGAACCAGCTCAGCTTTACAATTATTGGCTAACCAACCCACCTCCCCCATTCATTGGGCAGCAGCATTGCGAAAAACCCTTCACGAAGTGTGTCCCTCTCGGAATGACTCTGTCCGTGAATGGGGGTTCACCCACCCAAAAAAAAACCCCTTTGACCGAACGAGGGTAGACATGAAACCCTATCCCGCCGAAGGACTCCTCCTATTCCCAATCGAGGGTAGACATGAAACCCTACCCCGCCCTACTTCTCCCATTCATTGGCGGCAGCATGGCGAGGACATCCTTCGCGATCGTGTCCCTCTCGCCAATGACTCTGTCTGTGAATGGGGGTACACCCACCCAAGAAAAACCCCCCATTCATTGGCGGAAGAATGGCGAGAGACCCTTCACGATTCTATGGATTGTGTCCCTCTCGTCAATGAAACTGTCGGTGAATGGGGGGATTTTTTTTTGGGTGGGTGGAAAATATTCACGTTTACGTTTTCAAATTCAAAATATCCTACAAATTGTAATTGTTGATTTAATTGTTTTAATCGTTTCAAGTTCAAAAATTGTTTTTTGTGATGTTGTTGTATTTACATTTTTGGAAATTGCAGGATATGGGTATGGATTGCCTTTATCAAGGCTCTATGCTAGATATTTCCGCGGAGATCTGCTGGTGACATCTATGGATGGTTATGGAACTGATGCACTTGTCTACCTTAAGGTAGACGTTTGTGGGCCATCATTGGTTTTATTCAGTGTTAACTAACGGTACTGTCTTTTTAGGCATTGTCAAGCGAAGCAAATGAACTGCTACCAATATTCAACAAAGCAACTTCAAAGAATTACGAGACATCCGTGCAAACGTCTGACTGGAGTGTTCCTGGCCAATTCTTTTCTCATGTCAGGCATTTTTCAACCGCGATGCCGAATGCTGTCCCCAGGAGACTGATTGTGTGACAAGCAAATTCGGGTGTTTTTATTTTTCCGACAACGTCAGCTAGGTTTTAATTTTAATTAAACTTTTTTTCTTGAAGTCTTCCTTTGATTTTAGTGCTGTACTATTGATGTGATGCAGAAATTGGGTGGAACGTTTGAACTGACGTTGTGGGACATTTCTATGAGAAAGGTTAGGTTCTTTTTGGTGCTCTACTAGTCGCTGCGATGTGGTTCGGTATTTAGTTACTTTCAGGTGGCTGAAAACTACAGCCTTATGGAGCGACAATGCAGGAGGAGATTTTTCAACTGGTTTCTGATTCATTTTAAACATTTTACCATTACATTAGCAGCGGGAATTCTGAAAAAGCCACTTCCACAAACAGCACAGAGAACATTAGCGTATTGATTAAATTGCGACATGCGGAAGGGAGCGTCAACAGAGGATTCTCCTACAGAAAGGTAATTTCAAACCTTCTAAGGTTTTGCTGCTAGTCGTAACTTGAATTAACAGTTTCAGAAAGACTTCCTCCAATCAAATCACTGATGGACCACCGCAGTACAAAATTGCCTTCAACGTGGGGAACTCTGTCACATCTCCGCCGTTCTGGATACTAATTTCCGCAGGGGTTCGTTAATATTCCGGGATCATAATCACGTTAAACGTAGGACGAAAGAAATTCGAGTAATTAACGGCAATTCTGAACCTTATTCACTGAACAAAACGCAAGCAATCAACGAAATAGAGATTTTCAGCAAAATAATTACGAAAAGCTAGGATTTATGTTTTAATGATTTAAAAGTCTTGGATTTGCAAAATCATTTTTTCGGATAAAAGGACATTCACATTTTCATTTGTGCTATACTAATATACTTGATGTTAAAATTACACCTCAACTAAAGTTTCTTTTCAGAGTTTACACTTTGAAACGCTTGCTTCAACAGGGAGGCTGAGAGTCAAAAATATAGAGTCTATCCTGAAACAGAATAATAATTTAATAAAAAGCATTTAATAAAACAAATCATCTTTCATGAAGTTTTCAGACTACCATGGTTTCAAGGAGTAGGGAAAAAATTACATTGAGATTGAAATATTTCGGAAAATCGCTGAACATGAAAAAATAGGGGAGGGAAAATGTGGGGTATTGCATAGTGAGGAATCATACCTTTTGTGCAATTTTTCCCAATTCTGTCAATCCAGCAGATCCTTCTTCAAATCCTTTACAATGGAATTCTTGCTGAAAAGACAAAAAAACAAATATTCTTCTTCTAAAAAAAAGAAGGCTCTCAACTGGGATCCTGAACTGTACACAGGTAGCAGCTTGTGTGGGAGTATCCTTTGTGACAGATTCAAGCTTTGGAATCTACCAGAAAGGTGAAGGGCATCTCAACATAAAATTCATTGCTGGCTCCACATTTTTGGCAACTGCTATTGGAAGTCTGGGATTGTCACTGGGATACTTGTTTGGATCAGAACCAGTTCCACAAGTGAGAACTTACAGTACAGAATCAAGAATTCCTCATATTGCTCCTCTTAATCAAATCAATCCAACTCAACTTACAATTAGAATCCAGAAGACATTGCATCTATTGAAGAAAAAAGTCCTGAACTATCATTATAGTCATATGAATAACTCATTTGCATAAAATTCTGATAAAATGAAAATTCCATGGAATTCTTCAGATTTTTAATTCAAGAAAGATTTTCATTTTTTCAGGAAATTGTGTTCACTACTCTGATGATAATCTGCAATGTTAGTGTCATAGTGACACATGCCATGGCAGATGAAAAGAACCTGAGAGATCCTCTGATTTCTGCTTGCATCTGTACTGCTTTTCTTCTGGCACAAACAGTTTTTCTTGTGGTTAAATTCAGGTCAGTCAATTGGTCTAAAATCCAAGTTCAGTATTGAAAATATTTTCTTAAACATTAATTGCAGGTGAAAGAGTCTGAAGCATGTCTCGACTTGCCTGGTTTTGGGAGAGCTTGACTGAGACTAGAACATGGCTGAAATGGGTAACTGTGGTGAGACTCAAATATTTCAAGAAGAATATTGAATTTTCAAATGACCAGCTGTTAAGAGAGATTTTGCCTAAAGTTATGGCATAATGAAATAACTAAGTTTTATCTATGTAATGTTACAAATAGGCTTAATATAAGATAATACAATTTCAGAGTAAAATTTTGAAATGCAATGTATTTTTATAGTTTGAAAACTATGAAAAAGAATTCCAAAGTACTGTACTGTACTGTAATAGGACATATTTTGAAAATACCTCAAGGGTACAAGGTGTCATAAATGGCTGAGTAAATGAAGTTTAATGAACATGTATAACAAGGGTTGTTTCAAATTCAGGCAGAATAACGCATTTTCATAGCAAGTGAAGAGTTGCACCAATTTCGAGATTGAAGATAAAGGCTTGGAGAGAAACAATGCCCAGGAAATGAAAAATGTAGACCACTGGCAATCATTCAAATGCCAAGATTACTGACCATTGGATTACCCTAAAAAAATTATTCATAGATCAGACAGTAATTGAATTGTAGAAATATGTCACATTGTAATCAATCCAAAATAATTCACTAGAAGAAAAAATGGCTTCAGTATTTACTTTTGAGAAAACAATTCAATTTAACACTCAGGTTCAGCCAACACTGTAATGTTTTTGCATTACTATCAAATGAAACAATCATTAAAATTCTTACACAACAAAAACAAATGTTTTGCATAATTTAACACAGTTAACTTTGACAAGCTACTTTGCCACACATTCATCTAGAAATATATGCAAAATCCCAGGCATCCACTGAAAATTTCTCATCATGGACTGTACTGACAAATTAAAATTTACAAGCTGTAAAGATAACTAGACACATACATTCAAAATGAAAATGTACTGCAAGTCTTCAAATGCTCTAAAACAAGGTTATTTTGATGAGATCTGAAGCAACCCTTGCATTCCAGGGTCTACCCTCAAGTTGAAAGTAGACTTGTTTGTTCAAGTTGAAAAATTTTACCAAGTTATCAATAACAGCTCAGTGAATGGCAGGGTTCAATGAAAAGATTTGTCAAGGAGTCCATTTTATAGGCAGTTGGTGTCTCACTCTCAGTCCTACTGCATCAAGTGGCTAGCCTTGACTTTTTTCCAAGGATGGTGGTTGGTGCATTGTCATGTGTGAGCCTCTATCAATCCATTGCATATTTGAGTGCACCAATCAAGTTCAAGCAGGTAATTTTGCTAGTTTTTCTGGAAACCAACCACCATAATTGTTATCCTTATCATTTATATTTATAGCTTGCTTGAAAATTATAAAGAGACTTAATTTTTACTGGAATAGTCTTCCCGCTTTAAATAATCCCCACAAATTCACAAACTGTTATTGCAAAAATAACTGCTGACTCATTTACTGAGGAAATGACAGGTACTTTGAACTTATTCATTTCTTCCTGACCTCAGGTCTTTCCATGAAGGGAGAAGCAATTATATTGAGTGACAATATCTTATACATCTCAAACTGTCATAACCATTTAAACTTTCCAAAATTAAATACAGTGAGACCCCAAAATATGGACAAACAAACATACAAAGGATTCAACTTAACACTTGAAACTTGAAAAAATCTGACCCAAAACCCAGGTAATGACTTGACAGACACTTGAGACATAAGTGAACATTTCTAGAAAAATTGAAAATTTATATTTTTCCAAAATAGGATACAGGTGGTACCTTGCAATTCAACCTCCCACAATTCGAGGGTCAAATTTGTTGGGAGGCTGATTTGAAATTTTATCTATGCCCTGCAATTTGACCCCCAGAGATGGGCAAAAATGTCAAATGCAATATTTAGAAAACATTGCATTTGACGTTGCTTTGCAATTTGACTACTTTGCAATTTGACCCTAGTCCAGCAATGGATTAGGGTTGAATTGCAAGGTACCACCTGTACCTCTCAAACAAAGTGAGCTATTTATATTCACAGAGGTTAAAAATGAATTTCCTCATTAATTTAGAGTATAAAACCTACTTCATTTTTGGAATAATCTCCATCCGCAGGGCACAGTATTGCAAAACTTGTACTTTTTTTTTTAAAGATTCTTTTGATACAAGAAAATCAGATTCTGTGTGGTTCATTTCCCTTACAATAATTCAGTCAACCCCAGCACAACAGACCTCCCACACAATGGATTTTTACACAACAGACTGCCTCTGGAGGTGGTATTCCATCCTACACAACAGACTAAATCCACATAATGGACTTCAGTTGGTTCAACATTAAACCAAAGTAAAAATGTTTAATTCTTTCAATAATTGAATTTGTACACTTTTGCATAACTGACTTGTCTGTTGTGCAGGGGTTGCCTGCAGTCTATATTTCCAAGTTGTGATAATGCATTTTATTCAATTTTTGGGAGAACTGTAATCCTAATTTTCAATCAATTGGATACCCATCAATTAAATAAGTCTATGGGAAAACGTGATCCAACATAAAGACAAGGTCCAAGCATGGGGTCTCACTTTAATTCAGGAATCAAAATTATAAATTTTAAACTCTCATCAAAATCAAATGTATTCCCCCATTTCTCAGGAAATCTTTATACTGCTTCCCATGTCAATACTGGCAATCATGTCCACCATGGTGTTGATTGCCCGATTCTTCAAGGAGATTCAAGCAGCTGAAATATTCATGGTGCTTCTGAGCCTATCATTAACTGGACTGTACGCATCATCATCATTACGGTTGTTTTCTCTCCACACAGCTTCAACACAGTGTTCACTAACGGCTTCAAGGCCTACAATAAAAAAAATGAGATGCTAAACTACTATACTGTTGAAGTACAGTATTTACAATACTTCAGTACCCCGTTAACTTCCTTAGCAGAAAAGTGGGTCATACTCGTGTGAAAAAACTTTTACCTGAGAGTTTTCCATGAATATTTGTGCGCATTATATCACAGATGAATAGAGAAAGAGAAGAACATTTCAATGGGTCCCCGAATAACGTAAGACCCGTAAAAAAATGTTCGCACAGTAAACATTTTCATCAAATATTTCGCAAAAAAAAATTTCCATCAAATATTTAGCACAGCCAAATTTTTTAATGAAATATTTTGCATGGCAAAAATTTTTAGAGGGAAGAATGAATTCTTTGGGCAAAAAAAACACTAATTGCAGCAAATCTAAAACTGAAACTATTTGACATTTCCAAAAATCCAGAAAAATTAAAAAGGAATAGTTTTACTACATTCACACATGTAGTTATACTAACTACATGTAGTTTTACTACATTTTTTGACACCTTTTAATGTTTGGAGACTTGGACAATTGGAGACATGGACATTTGAGAGTCAGGGACATTATGAGACAGGGACAATATGAGACAGGGACAATATGAGACAGGGACAATATGAGACAGGGACAATATGAGACAGGGAGAATATGAGACAGGGACAATATGAGACATGGACAATATGAGACAGGGACAATATGAGACAGGGACAGTATGAGGAAAGGACAATATGAGACAGGGACAATATGAGACATGGACATTTGAGAGACAGGGATAATATGAGGAAAGGACAATATGAGACAGAGACAATATGAGACAGCCCCAAAGTAAATCTGCACACACACGTTTTTGATCAATTTTACAGTGAATTTTCTGGTTTTCACAGGATTCTTTGTGTGTCTCAAATTGGCCCTGCCTCGATTTGTCCCAGATCCAAACAAAATGAAGATCTGCGGGGTAATCGAGAGAAAATTAAGTCAAATTATCTGGGGCAAAATTCAAATCAAACCTCACTGACTCACTCACTTCTCGGTAGTAGATGCAATCAGAAAATAGTATGAAATCAGCGTTGCACAAAGACTCAGGAACATTAGGCCACTGCCAATCGAGTTCAATGCAAAAACACGAATCCTCAACACCATTCAGCGCGACATTCTCTTCACAAAGGGAGATGAACTCTTTCAAGTCTGTTATGCCCACTGACTTGGCTCTGGAAATAAGCGACCAAAACAGGAAAAAAAAGTAAAATCTCATTACAACAATTACCGTTACAACAAATTTTTTGATACAACAAACTTTTTTTCAAGTCCCAGCAGAAAGCCTATAGACTGCATGTTAAAAAAATCTTGTTATAACAAACTTGGAAATTCTGTTGTAACAAACTTTTTTGACAAAATTTTTTTGGTTTTTTGTGGAAAAATTTTGGAAAAATTACTTAAAATTTGTTTGTGTTATTCGCCATTGAAGCCTGAATCAAAAGACATTGCAAGTGATGAAAAATATGATCTACTGAAGAAAGTTGAGGATGTATTGCCAGCAGCAGTGAAT